ACAGAAAGAAAAAGATTCCTTGCATAGCTTCATGCCATTCTGCCACTTATCCCCCAGAAGAGTCTGAAGTCAACCCTGGGACTGTACAGAAAGGCCAGACACCAGGTTTGGGACTAAGGCAATATAGAAGTCGGTATTGGAAGGGTTTGAAGATCTCCCACCGCCCCCCAAATGCTGCACTGTAAGTCTAAGCAGATTTAAGAGATGGAGAGAGGAAGATTCACGTTTGTGTCCCCAGTGGCTCTTTCCTCAAGCCTAACAAGCCATACAACACATGAGCACACTTGGTGCTCTGCTGCAGTATTAGCACCATTAAATGGTCACAGCTGCCTCTGGGCCACTGAGACCCACCACACAAACAGTCAGACAAGCCATCCCCAGCTCCATCAACTCCTGCAGCGCTCCGACAGGTGGCACTAGCCAAGGGACTGTCCTCTTGCACACCAAGAGCCAGGAGAGACTCCGTGGGGATGGATAAAGTTACACCATAACCCTCTTAAGGACAGCAGAACTTCACCACTGGTAAACTCTCCCAACAAAGAAAGAAATCAGGGTCTGACACAGGTTCTGAGTCTGCAAACTACTAGAGACTTTCAAACAGCAAGACATCATTGGCAAAAACGTGGCAGTTAATTTTACTGGCACTACCATCAAAAATAGAACAAAAAACTCACAAGAAACTTCCTTCCATTTTGCTCCTGCAGAAGATTTAGTTTGTCTGCATTAGGTACACTGGAAAGGAAGAGAAATCTGTAAGACAGTAGATGCTGTGACCATTCCATTTGGGAAAGTCAAAACCACATGGGTCTTTCAAAAGTGTAAAAAGATCAGTCGTGTCATGATCTAATGACTTGTGAAGAGATAGCAAGCTCTTCACATGGCCAAAGACAGCATGCTGAAAGTAAATACTTTAAGTTTGTTTTCCAATAGAAAAATAGTATTAATTTCCCTTTTTCTGCTTTAAAATGCTCTGTTGTTTTCTGGTTCAGGTAATAAATCTGTCCTCCAAACTAAGGAAAAATTGAAGATGGACCACCATTCATCCAGTTTTCTTCTGTGCAATTTGAATTTTTACAACAGAGAGGGAAAAAAACCCCCTTGTTATATCTGCTTTGGACGTATAAATAGCAGCCTTAGAAGTGAAGCTGTATATTTAGATGTCCAGCTGAAGTCAGGGTTTGATTCAGCCCTTGCTTGATTCTAGTTCAACACCAAGATGACTGTTGCAATTCCGTCATGTCAAACTACAACATTTCTTTAAATATTCTGTGGTGTAAGAGCAGCTCAAAGGACTAGAAAGTCAGTCAGAATGCAACTCTCTGACTCTAGAATCAATCTAGACGCATTCCCTGAATCCAGCAGGGTTTTAGCCATGGTTTCTGAACCAAAGCCTTTAACTATGCAACAGGCTATAGTCTGTGTTTGGACCATGACAAGTGCTCAGCTGAAAATTGGTTTAGGTGGAACAGGAGTGGAAATGGCTGGAAAGGCAACTTTGGACCACACAGGCAAGGCAACACAGTTATGCTTCCTTTCAAAGCCTAAGAAAAAGTGTCATTACAAGACAGAACATCCAACACCAGCGCAGGTGTATGACACAGGCTGCCTGCATGGCAGTATGGTTGAGAAGAGTCCAAGGGCAGATACATACATGTCCTTGAGACTTCCTGGAGAACCAAGAAATGCCACGAGAAGGTGTTAAAAGCACAGACCTCTGGAAGCCCTTGATTATAAACACACCAAGGCTACGAGAACACACAAGCAGGTTCAGTACCTCTGATCTACCCTGATCAGCTCAGAAATTAAATACATCCTCCCATATACTTGAACCAGGAGCAGACTGTCTGCAGTAAGAACCGTTATCCTGTTTGCACAGCACCTGGCAACTGTTCATATAAATAATAAATACAACCAAGCAAGCAGAGGCACCAGGCAGTATCAGTTTTCCCTACTATCTGCTTGCAGAGAGGCCAATTCATATCAGATGAAGTAAATAAATGGCAATAAGGTAACAAACCGGCCAGCATGATTATCTCAGTAAGTGCACACTAATCTCGCCAAAACACAGGTTTTTCACGCAGCAGATCACACAAGTTCATTAATGTGCTTCTGGGCACCTATATTGTGTGCTGTAACAGTGAATTCTTCTGGAGGGGACTATCCAGCACTAGAAGGATCATAACAAGAACGATTCTTTAAAACACAGAAGGGAACATTTAAACAATACTTTTCAGCTAGGAATTAGAAGATACTAAATTCTTACAGAGAGAGCTTCCGTTGGAGGTAAGTGCTGTATCTGCAGAGAAAAAAGAAAAAAAAAAAACCAAACTGTCCCCCCTCAACAGTTTTAAAATGCAGAGCCCTCCCACCTTTGGCAAGAAAATATAGTTATCCAAGCTGAAAGCTAGGTAATACTTTGAAGCGAAGCTTGGTTGGGGGGACTTGCACTTTCTAAATCTGCTCTTCAGTGCCTAGGCATTTACAGTAATCTCCATTCAAGCACTGGTTTTCACATACAATCAGTCCTCAGCCAGCTAACAGGAGGACCTCAGGCAGCTTTCACAGGCAGCAGGCACAGCAGAAGTACTGTATGCTATCTTTGCATGTTACACTGAAGTGCAATTTCCACTGTCTAACATCAACAGGCAGTAACTGGCCACACAAGGTGTAATCTTGATAACATGTGATATCAAACACAACAAGAATTGTCAGGCACAAGCACTACCACAGCACCTGTGTATCCAGTTGCTGGTCTCTACTGGACACTTGCATCCACCTCCATCAGCAGACTGGGGAGAGTGAGGTCTGTAAGGCCGCTATATATTCAGACAATAGAATAACATAGGTTGAAAGTCTGCCCTCCCTTCTCATTAGCAGCTCTCACCCCCTCACCCAGAAAACTACTGGACCAGAGAAATTCTGCATGAAGAGTAAGTCTTCATCCTTTCCAATGGGAATCCATCAAAACAATTGTCAGATTAACATTAAGCACAACTACAGAGAGACAATCTCCATACTGTAACCTGCTGAAGCACAGCCCAGTCTAGTACAGCCATTCTTTCAAAGAGCAGCAGCGACATCTTGTGGAAAGATTTAGCATTGCAGGCTTATCCCTAACCACGAGTTACTCAGCTTTGCATTAATCTAGCCAAGGATTCTGCTGAAGTGCTCTGTCCTTTTCTAGCCCTCTTTCTGTGCAAGCTGCCCAAAGTGAACCTGCAGAGCACACTGATCCATTGCAAAACAGCAGTTACACGCAGTCAACATCCTTTCCCCTAGACCAGTTTGTCTGGCTCGCCACACCACCGAGATGATCCAACACCTGAGAGGAAAGAGGAGGCCAACCTCTGTAGCTGCATGCTGACCACCTTATCTAATCACAGGCTAACACCAGCCTGAAACCTCAGTATTGATGGAGGACTTTAATAGAAATGAGGTTCCATAACTGAACACACATGGGCAAGAGTTCACAAATCAGACCAGTTAAAGCTGCTCAGCTCCACGAAGTCCTGTGCGATCCACACTAGGTGATCCTGCTCTGGCAGGGGGTTGGACTAGATGATCTCTAGAGGTCCCTTCCAACCCCTTCCACTCTGTGAAGTCTATTATGAAAGATCATCTCAAGACACAGCCTGGAGAAATCCCTGCTATCTGAAACTGAGGCGGGGGGTAAAGTTCCTCTTCTAGGACTAATTTATGCTCTGCTACCATCTGGCATTTTCCTAAGTTCCAAGTTAAAGAAAACATATAGGAGCACAACTTCAGCAGGAGTATTCCACACATTGCTAATCACCACTCAGGTTAGTGCAGAAATCAAAGAAAACCCCACATACCATGAATGTGAAGTGTGTTCATTAATTGTAGACCTGCTGCTGCTCTATAGGATGTTCCTGCTACATACAGTTGCCAATACATGCAACAATGCTGATCAGTAACCACCCACCTGAGGAGTATACCCCAGACTTTAAGCAATGCTGTTTATTTTTCCACCTGCCCTGGCAGACTATCCTTATATGTAAGGGAAGGGTTCCAAGTGTATCTAAGAGCACACCCATCAGCAACAGCCATTCTGAGAGAAAAATACAGCTACCAGTCGGGCAAGGGAGTAATATTAGAAATAAAAAGCTGTAGTTTCCAACAAGACAATCCTGTTAATGTCTGTTAGGTAGTAACAGCTTACCTGAGATGTCTGCCAATGCCCTAATTAAAGCAGACTTCATCACAACCTGTGGCCTGCACCCCACATCTCTCAGAGACAAGTAGCTGGGAGCTCTCCACTGGTGACTGGAAAGTCAATAGCATCAGACAGACTAATGACATGGGAAAAATAGTCATGGAGATAGAGCAGCAAGCAATCTGTCCTGCTATTCAATATTCTGTCTGCAAAAACAGAATCACTCCAGCTCCTCTTGGAAAAGAAACCCAACTTGGAATCCCAAATTTTTTTTGTGTCACTAAATTTAGACTCCATCATCCCAACCGTCCCCCACCATGTTGTTTGGAAACAAAGTACAAGGTATTTTGCTTATTATTCACTTCCAAGATTAGCAATTGGCTTAGTTTACTGCAAGTGTTTGAAGTCCTCCAAAGGTTCCCACCAATAAGCAATATCTCTTAAACAGGAAATTTAGGTGGCTGTTGACCATAAGTGATATCTACCCTGCTTAATCTTTCAGGTTTTACTTTATAGTGTTTGTGACACATCAGGTTTTATTACCATCTCGTAACTCTGCAATGTTTTGATTTAAAGTGAGACAGCAGGAACAGCAAAACAGAGTCACAGCCCATATTGACCCTCACCAAAGCCAGGTGATGGTGTTCTTACACAGGGAAAGACAAGGTGAGACTACTGAAAGATTTTTCCTTTGAGTGACATGTGAAAGTGTTACACAAGACATGGTCACCTACTGGAAACAGCAATGGAACTTCAGTGTTCATGAACTTGCCAGCTTATTCACATTTCCTACAAAAGATACAGCCATAATAATATGCAAGACAAGTGCAAATCAAGAGTTTTATTTTTCCAACATACATAATTAAAAAGTGAGTGAACAACATGAAGTCCAAGAGACTAGACATATTTACAACACAGATAAGCTATCAGATCTTTTCCATCTTCAAGATCAAGTCATCACAGATTTTCGTTAGTTCATCATTTTCTTTAGTCTGTTGGAGACAGAAAAAGAGTGGGTTTCAGGTATGCCTAAGCTATACTACCTTCATGTAGCGTGCTGAGTTGCAAAGTCATGTTTGCCAACACATGAAATAAAGACCATTTACATGGTGACTCATGCAACTTTTAAGAACAGTCTGCTTTGTAGGTCACAAGGCAATCTGAAAAGCCTCAGGAAGTGAGCCAGAATCCAAAACACTCTACCTACTTCTACAGACTTTCCCATAATACACAGAGACCAACTGGTCTAAGTCTAAAAAGTCTTATTTCCCTAAAGTCTTTTTGTTAGATACGCTGAAATTCAAGATAATGGTGACAGTTCAGATCCTAATCTTCATAAGACAGACAACTCTGTAGGAGGATACTTTCATTAACATGTGGCAGCTTCCAGTTTGTGTAATTCCTTATATGGTCAAACCATTTTAATAGGAGATCTTAACATTTTATTTTACTGTATTTATAACAGAAACAAAACTAGTTGTGTTAAATGGCTTGTCTTGTTTCTCTAGTTACAAGCCTACTGTTTCCTCAGCTATGCAAGACTTAGCCATAAGCCTGAAAACTAGCACAAATATGGGACTTCTCCCTAACAACAGAAATGTACCAGAATTATCTATTTTTGAGTCTACAATGCTGGCAAAGACAAAAGCATGATGCAGTAAAACTAATAGCATGCACTTCCAATAATATAGTTCTTAAGCCTCAAAGTTTTTCCTCTGAAGGGTTCTAACAAAGGAAAATTATGTGCCTTTACAAAACATTTTAAGACTTTCATCTGTGGGATATGAATCTCTGCAATCAAATACAAGAGTAATGGCCTGAATGATACTGAAAGACTTCGGTCAATACAGGATAGTCTGTAATAGTGCTCATGGCTTACAAATCATATAGTCCATGAACAAGCCAAACCAGACAGTTATTCAAGATCCATTCCCAGATTCTGCTCTGGGACATGTTTTAGATCACCATCTCCTTCAGTAGTTCAGATAAATAGCTTCCTGCCACAGTAGCCTGGATTGAGCATTTCTGCCACGTATGTATGGGAACAAAACTTTTGCTCCAAAACCAAATCTAAACATCCAGATGAGCCTTGATATAACGGAGTGGTGTTTTAAGTTTCAATGCCTATTTCTCAAATCCTGCCAGGACAGCAACCACCAAAACCAGCAGTTAGCCCAGCTATTTCTAGCAGTGGTACAAGTCCATTCTTGATCTAAACTAAGGCAATAGCTTGAAGAGACTCAGTTGTAGCATTTTGACTAACCTTTTGTTCAAGGCTCCTCTCTAGAGACTGGATCCTCATTTGTTCTTTGCGGAGACTGGCTTGTAGTGCTGCAGTCTCTGATTTAGCTTTGCTTCGTACCTGGGCAATTTCCTCATTTGCACTGAAATGAATCAATATGGTGTTTACATCCTTTTCAGAGAACACAGCAAAACTGTTTATAAAAATCACACTAGATAGTTGCACTTTGGATTAATCCCCAAACCAAACATGCTTTAAACCAAGTTTTTGCATTAATGAATCCCATTTTGCAACAACTGTGAGAACTATGAATTTCACTCCCATTAGTTGGCTTCTTGACGTGGTACTTACTGATGCAGCTTTTCTTCAGCATGTGCCTTTAGTGCCCGATATCTCTGCTCCTCTTTTTTAATTCTAGCCAGGTATTCTTCAGCACATTTTTTCAGAGCTTCTTCGTTCTGTCCCAAGAACAAGAAAACCAGTTAGCTTTTTATGAGCTAGTAGATGAAAGAGTCCCTCCACTTCACAAATGACCTATTTGACTACACCAAAGTGGCAGCATTTGGTCATCAGAATAACAGCAACTACTGTGAAGCCCCACAGACCTACACAAGGACGAAAGCACCCCCTTTCAACTCTATTCACTGCACAAACTAACATTTATTCACCACATTTCCCTCAAAACATACTCTGTTCATTTAGTAGTACTCTGCTAAAGATCACCGGAACCTGAGGTTTGTCTTAGCTTGCAATTGTCATAATGGCTAGAAATCCAACTACTTCAGAGAATCCATGGAGAGATTCAGGCTTTGGACCCAAATATAAATTAATGGCATTAAAACCAAGAAAGTCACCCTGATAGGCACAGACACTACAGCATCTTATTTTACTAGCAAGTTGGAACAAGTGCTAAGACTCCCTAATAATTCCAGCTCTTGAATTTAGCAACTATCTCCAAGTGATGCTTTAACTCCATGCTAATTAAAGGGCTTCTGAATTTAGGGTGGAGAGATAGAAGGGACACAAGATAAAGGAAGTCTAACGTGTTAGTAAAGCAAAAACTTAAAATTTAACACAGATATTACATCTGTTTCTCAAGCCTAGACTACCATGAAACTTATAACAGGCTAGTTGTAAGCTTGACTAAAGAGGAGACATTAAATGAACTGAATAGAAAAAAGTGCCTTTAGATTAAGCACCAAATGAATCCATCTTTAGGGATGTCATGCAATAAGAAACTGTAGCTTATGCTCCTTATTAGCTTCATTCCTCCAATCTCTGAAGCTGATGTAAAAATGAAGGTCTGACTTTACCAAGTTGGAGGCTTTTTTTAAGCTAAAGGACACCTAATAAGCTATTATCACTTTAATTTGTAATAGCAAATCCTCTTCAGCATCAATTCAACAGGATATAGGGGAAACAAGCTGCCCTTGTGCAGCAGTTGGTACGTGAGAGCCTGTCTCGATGAGTAATAGAAGTCATATGCATGCAGAAAGAAACAGACCATTCTTGTTTGAAGAACTTTGGCTTTTAACACAGGTCATTATCATACTTTAAGCCACGAAATACAGCAAACCAGTAATTTTTTAAATCTTTAAATAAAGATCTTAGTATAGGCACTACCTGTAAAACCATGTACTAACTAATTAATGGCTGCTCTAGAAAATCATCATTTCCTCTAATAGGTCTCATTTATCTTGGAAGGATATTATTTGCATTATAGCATCTTACTTTGCGGTAGCCCTCTAGCACTTCTTTCTGTTTTTCAAATCGTTTGAAGAGTTCAGAGAAAGATTTCTCCATAGAGTTCAGGTCTGAAATAACTTGTTTCTTCTCTTCCACCATCCTCTGCATTTCTTTCTTTGAAACTTCCTTCTGCTTCTGAGCATCCTCTAAAGAAAATGGAGTTACAGGGTTACATTCATGATAGTTATTGAATTAGCATAAAACTAGTTCTATACTAGACAGATAACCCCCACATCTTCAATTTTAAGAAAAAAAAAGTTTCATAATGTAGCCTCTCCTCCAAAAGGGCACCGTATCTTTGCATTTAAGGGAGCAGTCACATTCCCTTTACATATTCTCAGACAACCCCATTAAGTCAAGGCCATTAAAGACAAGGTGCTTGCCCAAATCATTGTTTCTCCTGCAATGTAGTCAAAACACTACACCCTGGTTTACCACGACAGGAACTCAAATGTTGCAACTGAAGCAAGGAATCAAAAAATATTTGTCTTCATTAAATACACACAATAGCTAGAAGATCTGGAGGAGACTGGGATAACAAGCCAAGCTAGCATCACAACCTCTTTCAGGGCAAGTTTTTGTTAGCACACCCGAGCTTTATTTCCCATAAGTTACAAGAAGCACAAAAAAAGCCAACATGCTATTCAGTTTCCTTAAAAAACTAAACTTAAGCAAGGCACAGATCTGGCTATTCAGCTTTGAACTAGGAGAAAGTACCTATACAACAAGAGTTTCATGCTATGTCTTCCTAGCTTTGAAGCCACAAACTTGACTGAAGCGAAGACCAGATCTGTCCAGCAAGTACTGCTACTGACATGTTACCACTTAAATGAGGTCAGGTAATAAACAGTTACACAGGGTGCAGACAATTAGATCTCCCAGTGTTAATAAACCAAACAGCTCACACTCCACTGGAGAATAAGAAAAAAAGTTAGATGTGTTCACACTTGATTCAGGAAGTCACCGTTACCCACCAGGTGATACCATGTCTGTATGAATACACTTAAAAGTGTTACTCTACCTACCCCGTCTGAAACCTGACACTCATGCTGGATGCACTTGAAATATTAATGCCATCAAAAGTGAAAGCTAAGGCTGCTAACTGAAGGTTAAGCATGCCCCAACCCACCCAAGCCATTCAAAGTGTAAATATAGAACTTACCCATCATTTGTGTTATTGTACCTTCAAACTCGGCAACTATTTTTCTAAAAGATATGAACAACAATGTTGAACTTAGAGTCAGAAAAAGCAGCTGGAGAAATCAAGTAGATACAAAGATCAGGAGAGATTCATACCCCATTTCTTTGTATTGCATATGAAGCTCATCATACTTCTTTTTCCATTCCTGTGTCTCCAACTGTTTTTCTTGAACCTTTGAGAGGAAAAAGTAAACCTTTATTCCTTGCACAGGAAGAGGAGTAAGATTTGATACTCAGAACTGTCCAAAGGGCAGCTTAGGTATACTTATAACTTGATATAGAGAAAAGCAAGTTCTAACTGCTTAAGTTCAAAATCAAGTGGTTTCATTACAAATTTGAGTCAAATAAGATGTAGATTGATATTGAGATTTTACATACATGATTCCCACTGTATTACTGATCTCTCAAGTGATAAATCAGAGCTGACTCAGTCCATCTCTTGACTACTTTTATTCATCCTTTATATAGACCATAGTTCCTCGGCCACTAATGTTCTCAAGAAGTACTGTTCTCTCAAGTGACATTATTTCCCTTTGATTTACAAGGCAGACAAAATAAGCCACACAAAAGCTACTCCCAGAAATGCTAGTATCTTTGTACTCTAAAGGGAAAGAATAACTTAAGCAACAAATAATCACAGGTCATATTCCTCTGGTGTCCTTGGTGTTACTACCTGCAGTAAAGCTAGTCAGGAATTTTGAATGCTCCACTTTCTTCTGAAGTTGATTTTGAAATGACACAATTAGCTTCAAGGACACGTATGCTTAAGTTCCTTCCTCCTACGTTATTTAGTATTTTTAAGCTTACATAACCCAGAAGCCATAATGAATCGAGTACTCAGGGTTGAGTTTTTTGGGTGGGTAGGTTTTTTTTGGGTTTGGTTTTTTTTTGAGTGGATACGTAGCTTCTTGCATCAGTAAGATGGTGTTCAAAAGCAGTGTTTGTAGCAATATAGCCACAGAACATGCTTGAAACCCCACTACCTACTTCTGCCTTCCTTCACTAATGCTTTTCTCCTCTAGAATGAGCTCGAGATCTCATTTTATTAACTGGATGTACTGTTGTGATTCCCTATCCCACAAAAAAGTTATCACTGTACTGAACTGGCATTAATTTTACCTTGTTTTAGGGAAATAATTATACCAGAAGCTGCCACTCCTTCCCACTGGCAAGAACAGGTATTTCTGTCTAGTTTAAGAAAGAGCATTCAGATCACTGATATTAAGTCTAACCATTCCATCTGATAAGGGATGCTTCTTAATAACTGACCAGTTCTAAGGCAGAACCTGACTAATAGTATATTCCCTTAGATACTGGCTCTGAAAAGTTCTATACCTACTGCTCCTATTAAGCACACAGAGCTTTTCAGAACGAGGTGCTTGTTAAGTACAATGGAAAGAATTATTAAGTAGAGATTTATACCAGATAATCTAAACACAAGGGACTTTCAAGACTGCAAGTTCTGCTTTGGAAGGGTCACCATACCTCTCTCTTAACCACCTCAACAGCTGCATCCATGTCTTTTTGGCTGTATTTGAGCACTTCTATAATAGCACCCACTGCAGTATTCGTGGAAGCAGCAAAAGGGAGAGGAGGAACATCACTAGTCAGCGAGTCTGGAATCAGAGGGTCTGTGTCCTGTAAGGAGAAGAAAGCGGAGTTTGAGTCCTATTTTCATGCAGATTACTCAATGCTAAGTCAACATATTTTACTTAAACACTAAAAATACCGCCATAACTTTCTTACTTTGTAGGTATCTTTCAGAATTATGTAGTTAGCTTTACTGTGGAACAGACACTGGTACCCAACAATTGTAGCTATCAGAAACAGAGCAGATGACACCACTGTTCCCCGCCAGTAAAAAAGGTACCATTTCAGAATGAAGTGCTGTGTACAGATCTGTTCATAAAAAGGCTGTTCCAACTATAAACCTTAGACTGTAGATCACCAAGTTTAATCAAAGAAGTAGTTTTTCATCCCAGCAGTGCAATTAAAACTTTGTGGCTTCAGCTGCATGAGAAGAGACTACTCGATTAAAGCATTCTTAAAAACAGCTCAAGCTCTCCATGGGCAGACCATGTGCAGTGCCACCAGTTTTCACAAAAAAGACTTAATACTTAAGAAATGAACTCCATTTAAGAAATGAAGTTTAACATTAAGATCTTAAAACCAGTTTGGATACTCAATGTAACAGTTTAAACAAGCATTAAGTATTCTGTAATCCTCCAAATATCTGACTAAGTCTTAAGTCCAGAACCTAGCCCATTCTTTTCCCCAAAATACCAACAGGAAACCTTGATATCATTCCAGACATCCTTACAGAAGTTGTAAATGTTCCCAGCAGATCCAGTCCTTTTGGTTTTTCTTCACTTTGTAGACTCACTGCAGGCTTTTCAGCTTCCTCATGCAATTTACTTAAATCAGCAACAGGACTGAAAACAAACAGACACCATTATACTGAAGTGCTGCCTTCCTCTGTAAAGCCATGTAGTACAGCCTAGGCAAAGTCAATACCTACCCACACTGCAGCGGAGTGGTCATGGTATTCATATTTGTTTCAATAGTACCAAAAACTGGTTTTCTCGGACTGTCTCTCAAGAGAGGGTCAAACTTCAAATACAGCGACTGCTTCCTCAAGGCAGACTCTTTGAACTAACGGGAAAGAGGCATAAACTGGCAGATATGCTGCTTCATAGCATAACACATATCCCACACACACTCAAAAAAAAAAATCCTCTGGAGAGAGGGTGAACCTATTCTTCAGTGGCCAAAGCATTGTTCTCTGGAGAAAAATTATGTAAGAGAACTCAGTGCCCACATGCTTATGTCCTTATGTAATATCAAGTGAACTCAATCTGCTCTGACAGAGCCAAAAGGGCAAACATTTATGAAGTATTCAAAGACAGCAAAAGAAAAAGGAAGATAATATTGTAAGCTGAATGAGCAGTGTATGTCATTCTATCTTTGCTTAAAGAAGAATATGGACAAATACAGTATGATCAAAAAAAACCCCAATTTCAATTCAGTGCATTCGTTATATTCAGAGCCACTCCTATCCTGGACCAAAGCAGGAGAAAGAATAACTAAGCTTAACAGATTAGAACATGACATGCCCAATTTAGAGACAGATTTCCTGAAACTGCCCATAAAACAAAAGAGTTTAGAAAAAAGTTTTTTCAAAACAATCATCCTGCACTTTCAAAAGCATTATGTTCTTTTAGTTTTGGCAACCAGACAGGTGAAACGTCAACCACCTCAGTCTCACTGCTATTAAAGAAAAATAGCACCTTTGCAAACTGAAAGCATAAGAACCCTGATCGTAGTACAATTACTTGGAACTACACTTCCATCACCACCTCCTGCTCAGCCTTGTAGACACATTCCTTTGGAATAGAACCTGTATTTTCTGTGGGCAAGTTCAAAGTGAAGCAATTTCATGAAAACATTTAAGGCTTGACAGTTTAATTCTCCTTTCCTCTCCCCTCTGCCAGGGAGGCAAACAAAACATTTTGATGTCATACTTACTGATGAAGTCCCAAACTGTTCCAGGTAGTCTATTTCTATGCCCATTCCAAGAACTGAAAAAGAAAATGGTACAATGAAGACGCAATATTGTCATATTATCTTACAGTGAAGCACCCACAGGCAGAAACAAATAGGCATGTGTAAAAAGCAAGTCAATCCCTGCTTCCATGTCACAAGCTCTAGTCTTTCATTTGCTGCAAATACTTTATTTCTATCTGGACCTTCTTCCAGGCAAAGATTTCTAAGCTAAGCAAACTTAGAGCTTCCATTTTTCCCCAAATACCTGTAAGAATTTGCAGAATTTAACACACAGCTGAAGAACTTCTTACTCTATGGTTAGTGGCAAGCACACACAGATGTTATACTCTTTAATACAGCATCCCATGAAATAGTAAAAATCAGCAATCTCACCATTAAAATTAACACACATCTCAAACTTGAACAATAAAGTTATAGCCACTTCTCAACATACTGATTCCACTCAAGTAGGAAGACAAATGACAGACTGCACTGCAGTCAAATAATTCGTGCATCCTTCCACACAATGATCCTGCAAGGAATAACCCTCCCAGGAGGTCAGGTCACAGCTATGTAGTAAGCTTTCAAGACAGGAAGCAAGTGCAGAAGGACCATCCACACTCCAGTGCGAAATCAGTATCCAGGTAGCGCTAAGGCCTGCAGTAACCTACAAGTCTCAAACACAGGCAGTTGCATAGCTCTAGTGCTCTCAATTTAGAAAGTCCTTAATACTAGACCTGATTAAGGGAGCAATACTCAGAGAAAGCAGCCACTGAAACTCTAAATAGGTTGTTTCCATACAAGCCTAAAGTTCGTTCTTCCAGGCAGCTGAATGCTAACAACCAGGTTTTGGTTTTTTTTTTTAGTTTAGCTTAATCCAGAGAAATTTAGAAATAAGCTTGGGTACATTTCCCGGTCCTGCTAGTAACTGTAAGTTTTACAGTTTAAGAGCAAGATGAGACAAAAACTAGAATAAATGCCAAAATTTTAGAAGTACATACACAGAGGTTACTGTAATGATCTATTTTCAGCCTATTCTAAGGAAACGCCCTTACCTTCTGATGATGGTCTGAAGAACTCTTCAGGTTCAGTGCTAGCTGTCTGCTCATCTGTTGTAATTTCAGTTCTGTGGGAACTAGGTTTAATTTCTTCTGCAGCCATTGACTTTTTTCCACTGTCAGCAGAAATCAAGTTATCTTGACAGGGGACCTTAGCTGGAGATATTTTAGATGGGCTCATTTGCTTCTCCTGATGAGAAAAACAGACAATCCTTTCTACTGTTAAAATAATGACTTAAATGGAATGAAAAGCACAATAATGATCAAATTGGTTTGTCATAAACTAGTTGGGCAGCCAGCATAATAAACCAAGAGTTCACAGGCACAGAAGCTAAACTAATACCAAGTATAGCTCATATTATACAGGAGTCTTTTTTTCTTTTTTTTAAGAGTCCACACCCTTATGTTTGTCCTTATATGTGATTGCTGATTAAAAAAGATACTAAATACCAAGGTACCAATTTGGCTGTCTGATGTTAACTTCAAAAAAAAGTCTACACAGTTGATACTCACTCAAGAGCTGCTAAAGATGCATATAAACAGTAATTCTTTGACTTAACCTTGTCAAACCAATGCTTGATATTTTGTCTAAGAATTGTCTCGTGGAATAACTTGGCAAGAACTGGCTATTTAGCCTACACCTTACCGTGGTGCTCTGTCCCGAAAGTTCAGTGTCTGCTTGAACTCCTGGCTTGTTGTCTTGAGTTCTTGGCTTGTCTTCTCCCACACTCTGATCACTGATTTCCATAAAGAAAAAGGGGGAGAAAAAAAAAAAGAGAAATCTAAATTCAAATCACACAGACAGTTCTGAATTCTATTTACCAGAGATACTGAAGCACTGAACAAAAGTAAGCTTATCTGAGAATTTCTACTGCCACAGTTCAGGAAGCTTTAAGGAAGATGTGGATGTAAATTCACTGCCTTGCCTGGTGACAACTTAGGCAACAGAAAGCTCTCCTTCCATCAGAAGCAGTGCTATCTGGTAAGCAGCAAGTCACAGCATTATCAATTATTCCTGTTCACTTAACACTGTTCCCTGATTTCCACTTGTTAAGCCCTTTTTTTTTTTAATTAAAGATAGACTTTTGGTTTAATTAAGAACTGAATTACAAGCAGCCTGCTACTCTTTCCAAAGCAATGCAGTGATTATTAGTGTAAAGCACAGAAGTCCATTACTTTAAGCTTGTGCTGTCAGTAGTAACAAAATTTTTTAGGTTTTGGTAAATAGTAGCTGATCCCATTACAGAGGGAGCAAGAGAACAAACATTTCTGTCAAATGAGTATCTTGTGCCAGTCTAGCTCTAGTAAACACCTGGCTGTCTATAATAATGCTGACATTTTAATAAACAGACTCTAGGAACAGCAACACAACATCTCCCATTCCCAAATAAAAAGTTTTATGTAGTGGCAAAAAAAAAAGCAGCTGTAGTGACAGGCCTTTTTAATGGAGATAGCATTCAGATACCAAGAACAATACAAGGAAGAAACAGGCCCTCAGTGTTCAGACACTAAGCAGAGAGTTGACTGGTCTCTTCAAAAGCTGCATGATGTGCTACACTGCTGTCTACCTACATGTTTCTTGAAAGACATCAGCAGTCACCTGATTCTCCACATTTTACTCTAATCTTGGAGGGGTGGAGAAAGAGCCACCTGATGAAGGTACAAATGCTCTTCCCTGTTGCCTCCCATTCCTCCAGATTTAACACCTTTTGTCCAAGCTGGCCCATCTCAGGATTGTTTCCTGAATCTTTGCTGTTGCAATATACTGTGTTAAAGGTTACAATGCACAACAGACTGCCAGCCTCAGAGGGAGGAAGTCAAGGAGATAAGAATCAACTGGTTAGAGACATCATCCACATCTCTTTTCCTCACGTGAGTTCAAGGGGCTTCTACATTCAGCTACATGTTTACTTACAGTATTTTGGGTTCTGTTTTTTCAAGAGATTCACAGGTGCTTAGTCCGTTACCCTGCTCCACAGGAAAAGGCTCCCTTCTTGATGATGTACTGCCCTGCTCCTCCTGCAGGTGAACTTTCTGAGGGTCAGGTATAGAACACTTGGGTGAGCTGGAAATTTTAGAGCCTCCTCCAAATGGATTAAAGTTTGGATCATCAAGGTTGTCCCAGTCAAACTTGTAAGATGCTTTGGGAAGAGGGATGTCATCTTCCACATTACTTTTATTTTGCACTCCGGTATTCTCTGGTTTTGTTTTGGTAATAGGAGTTCTTTTGGAAGGTGGCTTAAGTCCAGGTCTTTTACCTAGTTTCTTAGGAGGTGGTTTTCTAGCAGTGGTATTATCAAAGTCAAATTCAAGTTTTACTGGTCCAGCCTTGGTGACACCAGGCTGTTCTGCAGGTTCCCCTTTGGAGATAGCCAGCTCTTTCACAGGCCTTGACTCTTCTGCAGAGGCTTTTTCTGCTGCAGAAACATCCTGAAGCTTCAATTCCCCAGTTCTCGAAGAACTGGTTACATCAGAACCACTGGGACCTAAGCTGCCAGGTAACTGTACAGGAGGTGTAGGTGTTTCTGCTAATCCCACCAAATTATCACTTTGACTCAGATCAAAGGAAGCAGCCTTCACATCCTGTACAGAGTCACTGATTGCTTGCTTAGGGGACAGCTTGGATCTGTTAGACTCCGCCTCTCTCAATACAGATTCTTTTCCAGAGAAGACAGTCTTTTTCTGTTCACTTAAGTGTTCTGTACTTGCTGTGGTTGAAGCAAAAGAGGCTGTATCATCCAGAAGAGATTCATTACTTTTTTTAGAAGTTTTCTCAGGGCTGCTAGATGCTCTTACAGGAGACTTTTGCAGATTTCCAGGAGAATGCTGCAACTGGACTGAACTTTGAAAGGGATTGATGTCATTTAAGTTATCAAAATCAAGACTGTAGGAACCTCGACTCTTCACTGGCATCTCATCATCTGGGTAAGGAGCTGCACTGACCTTCTCTGGCATTTGTGTATTTATCACTGTGTTACTTGCTTCAGCTTCTGTCTTTTCTTGACATGTGCTGTGTTTAAAAAAAAAAAAGTCAGATTACACATGCTATAGCCATTTTTTAGACATTTGCACAAGTAGTTTTGTATGCTTAATCTTCCCCTGAAATAAGGCAGCTGACAGCAAAAGAATATCGTAACATCACGAACTCATTTGCCATCTATACAATCTGAACTTATGAGCTCTGGTACAAAAGAACTATAGAGATACCAAATTTTGAAGTTAATCATTATTCTTAAGCTATCTGTTCTAGACAGCTATGTTACTGTATGCCAGTCATCACTGGAGACTGCTCTACTCACTACAGCACATGGATGGTGTATTTCTATTTCACTAGACAGTGAAATACACGTCACTTCAGAGGAGATATTAACAGTAAGCAGCTCAAACACAAGCACAACTAATAGTATATCTACATGTAGATTCATCTATGAGTCACAATAGGCTCACAAGTCTAGCACCAAACAGAGTTATGATTCAGGTTCTCCCATTCTAGTCATTACTTTGTCTGGTCATTCTGGCACGTATTTTTGCCGTGAAAGTATGCACTAGCATTTCATCTCCAAAGGCCTACATACCAAAACAGAACCTGGACTTCAGACTTCTAAACTCTGTACAACAGCAGATCTGAAGAGCAAAGCTGTACACAAGAAAATATTTCTCCAGTAAAAGGAAAATAAGATTCTCTAGCAGAAGAAACAGATTAAAGTTTACATACTCAATACTGCTGGGTACTCTACAGGTTATTTCTCTCCACTTTATTTCCTCAGACCAAACCCTACTCAACTTCTGAGGCTCAGCCACAGACTACAGAGAGTTAAGCCATTACTTCCTGAAACAGGATTTCCTCCCATTGTTTTGTCCCTTCGTAAAGTTGTTATTTCTACGTGCTATCCATATCTTCTGTAGAACAGAACATTATTAAAAGTCACTCATTAAAAACACGACTTTGATAAACCCGAAAGCAAAGGCAGGAGATAAGAGTTCAGGAAGTCCTTCTCACCCAGTGTAAGTGCCTCTTCCCTGCAATAGTTCAGCCCCAGGCTCGTTCAACTACTCAGGCCCCTCCCATTCTCCTTCAGTGTTTAACCAAATAAATGCCAGTCATGAGCAAGACACCTGCTTGAAAGCGAATTACTTGAGACTAGTCGAAAGGGACACCCTTCAGCAACACCCAGTCCCTCAGCTCATTTGCTACAAACAAATCCTTACATTTTAATTTTAAAAGGGACGTGTACAATACAAGGAACGTCTTGACACATAATTATGCCCTAACTAAAACCTATTTGGCACTAATCCTTAACTCACTTGAACATTAAACGTACTAAATCTTCATTCATTCATGTAAGAAGTAAGTTTGGGGCATAATGCAATACAGCAATTTAATTGTGGTGGCTAGCTCAGAAGCATTTTTCTGAACAAGTATACATGCAAGGTAACCACTGGAACACATCTGTACTTTTAAAGAACATTAAAGTGTTGACACCTTTCTCCCTTCTCCCCTTCCCAAAACAAGAATAAGGGTCAAATGAAAATATTGGGTAGTTAAAAACAAGTTAAAGGACGTATTTCTTTGCAGAAGACAAAGCTAACATCCGAGACTTCTTGCCACCGGGAAGTACAGATGTCAGATGTTTATACAAGTTTTAAAAGGGGCTAAAAGTCAGTAACAAAAACATGCATCAAGGTTTATTAAATAACATTGTATTATCCTACCATTATTTCTAGTAAAGGAGAATCACAAAACCCTAAATGAGAATACTGCAGACTTTGTGCTCTTCTCTAGAGAAGTACCATGAGCCACTTTCAGACTCAGGCTACTAGACTAAAGGTGCACAAAGTAGTTTATACTTGGAATTGATGTTCTATTCACTTTGTATTGCTAGGTTTATTTTAATTGTAATACTCTGACTCAAGGTGTCAATTCAAGCTAACCCTTCAGAAAATGTATCTTAAGGAGAAAATCTAAAGGCAGAAAAAAAATACACTTATACAACAGAAGACAAGGCTTAGCTTTAACAATTATCCTCAGAATAGCTGTAGTCTCATGAAAACTTACTGTAGGAAACAGTTTGTATTCTCTGCCTAATGCATCTCTCTTCCCTTAATCTATTTATCCATAGCTTAAGTCATCTCTATGAAACCAGTTATTGAGAAATTAGTTCAGTAATCAATATTACAACCAAGATAACTGTCCTTGTAAGAAACTTATCTTTGAAAAACAGTTTGTTCAAAATCAGCATTAATTTTGGTCCTTTTGTGCAGTTCACACCTTGTTATAAAATAAAAGAGTTACATTTTAACTATAAAGGTTTATATTAGGGAAAATTGAGCATGTCCCTCATTGCTAATACTACCAGCGGTGAATACTTACTCAAAATCCATGGGTGCAGATACAAGTCCATCTGCCAAGGCTTCACTGCAATCATCAAGCGTGAAAGTAGCATCAAGTTTGTCCGTCATAGTAGGACTTAAGATTTTTCGAGTCAGAGGATCTCTTAGAGGAGTTTGAAAGGTTACCTTTAAGAAAGGGGCGGGGAGGAGGAAGAAGGAAGAGCATGAACACCACAATATTTCCAAGCTCCAAGTAACATATGAATGCAGTAACAGAGAACATAAAATGTGAAAGAATAGAATCATTCAAAAGCAAAATTTTACCTTCATAGTTTTTGCCACACTTTTTGGTGGCAAGTTTTCCTTCTGGGACAGGCGCAGAATGGAAGGTCTCCCTGTAGGTTCCGGCGGTGCGAAAAACACCTCATCGTCGTCTGCTGTTATATCATTGATGTTTCCTCCATTTTCCACGTTTAAAATCTGCAAACTCATTCTAGAACATCAACACATACATCGCAGCATGAATGAGAGGGTGTGGTCACCCAGATGCACTTTCAGATAATCGAAGAAGTTGGAAGCCTGGCACTGGCTAGCAAAGATTAACAGCTTCAAAAGATGTTTTAAAAGTACTCAAAACCTTCATATGAAATGTTAGACCCCAGAAGACTGAGGGCATCTAAATGCAGCACTGTACAGCTTCTCTGCTTTTGTTAGGGGTCTAGGAAGTGGACACTACTCTTTACACAGTTAGCATTATATCCTTACTAATTAAGATGCCTACCCTTTAAAGGGAGCTCTGTCATTTGCAAGTTTCTTCATTGCTATTCTCTTAAAGTCAGTAGTGACGTACAGTCATGTCTCTTATAATAAGCCATCTAGCCAAGCAAAATTACAGCTTCTGCAAGGAGCAGATGACAATCATTCATGTGTTTTATTCACATGGTCTCATTACTATGTTGTACATCAGCAACCAGCGAAAACAAAGTTAGTTAGCTTGGGTGTGTATAGGATCAGAGTCCTGAATAAGATTATTTAGCTTTTGTCTGCAGTGTCTGAGAACATGCTGCTTTTTTAAAAACACATACTATTTAAGAATCCTTTGCAGCATAGGCATTATTGGTATGCAAATCTGAAAAAGTGTAATTAAAGAGGAATTTCTTAAATACTGTTCTTAAATTGGACATGCACAAGCTTTAGTAGACCATATAGGCTGATGTAATCTTACTAATATTTCAAGTGTGAAGTACTTGAAACTAGAGCTTGTACTGCATCCATGATGAAGGATGAAAGTAAGTTAGACACAGAGAAACAACACATTTCAAGTACTCCAGGCAAGCCAGAACAGGTACTTGAACTCCATCTAACTTTCATTCCCACTGGAGCCTCCACTGTTCTAAAAATTTAAGATGAATACTCAGTGATGTTACTGCTGTTTCTTTAAAACAGAAAGAAGAGGGAGGGGGAAAAAAAAAAAAAAAAGGACCACAGCACAGAAGCCATGTCAGACAAAATCTAGGCATAACCACTGTTAATGAAGAATGACCCTGGAGAAACACAGTTAGTTACCTGTCAAGCCACTAAGAAAATGATAAGAACTGAGGTATTCTCTTATACCATCTATGCAAGTTAATCGGTATCAAGTGGAGGAGATACTTGCTTTCTTCCATATATAACCATGCTTGATTTTCAATCCTCTGTGATGCAGTCAATATTAATCTAGAAAATTGGCAGAGGAAGGCTCCAAATAATTATCTTCACTGTCATAATGGTGAGGCACTGGAACAGGTTGCCCAGAGATGTTGTGGATGCCCCATCCCTGGAAGTGTTCAAGGCCAGGCTGGATGAGGCTTTGAGCAACCTGGTCTAGTGGAAGGTGTCCCTGCCCATGGCAGGGGGGTTGGAACTAGATGGTCTTTAAGGTCCTTTCCAGCTCAAACCATTCTGTGATTCCACGATAAAGTAGTAACAAGTACACTGTCACCAAAAACCTAGTCACATTTTCAATCTCATTGCCTTTATGTATTCAAGTTTTCATAGAATCATAGAATGGTTAGGGGTGGAAGGGAACTTAAAGACCATCTAGTTCCAACCCCCCTGCCATGGGCAGGGACACCTTCCACTAGACCAGGTTGCTCCAAGCCTCATCCAGCCTGGCCTTGAACACTTCCAGGGATGGGGCATCCACAACATCTCTGGGCAACCTGTTCCAGTGCCTCACCACCCTCTCTGTGAAGAATTTCTTCCTGATATCTGATCTAAACGTCCCTGATTTCAATTTGTACCCATTACTCCTTGTCCTATCACTACAGGCTCTTGTAAAAAGTCCTCTCCCAGCACCCTTGTAGGCCCCCTTCAGATACTGGAAAGCTACAATGAGGTCTCCCCGGAGCCTCCTCTTCTCCAGGATGAACAAGCCCAATTCTTGCAGCCTTTCGTCATAGGAGAGGTGCTCCAGCCCTCTGAGCATCTTTGTGGCCCTCCTCTGGACTCGCTCCAAGTGGTCAATATCCTTCTGATATTGAGGGCTCCACAGCTGGACGCAGTACTCCATGTCTCTGCACATATTTCCCCACTCTTACATTAATTCTTATGGGAAAATTTGCTTCATACTCTCCACCGAAGCCAGCTGCTTTGTCTGTGAGCCCAAGAACAGCACTTTTAATCAGCAAAGGAATGCAAACTATGGCTACAGAAGCAATAGCAGGCAAAGCATGCCAGTGCTAGCTATTTATTCATTCCTTCTTTATTCTTAATCATATTTATGCTTTAGCCCAAGTTATTTTTTATATAAAGCATTTTTATATCAACTTTTAAAACTTGAAGTAAACTTCATTACTTCCCTTCATTCCAAACTAAAATTGGGAAAACATCAAGTGAATCTTTACAGACCGTAGTTGTTCAGTATAATCACTTTAGACATGAAGCTTAAGACACAAAAAAGTTTGTTAATGTATTCTAAAACAAGCTCCCTAAGCACGGGAGGTTCGTTGGGAGCCTTTTTCAGGTTTAGCATTGAACTTACTTGTGTACCATTGCTAAACCACATTCAGATCATCTAAAAGCCCAATAAATGGACAGCATATACATACACCACATTTGCCCAGCATTTTAGATATTAAAAAAAACCAAACTCCTTTCTAGGGTTAAATCATTAGAAGTAATTCATCATTTAAAAAAAATGTGCAACCAAGATTTGATCTGGATTCTGTTGCATAAGTTCATCAACTAGTAGCTGCAATAAGGTCAAAAGAGGTTTAATAAAGCCATCTTTTTGATTAAAGCAGTTGGTGTCTAATGCACACAAAGTATTGTGAGAAGCAGCAAGTTTCCTCACCATGGCCAACCAAAGCTCACAAAAATTAAACTGCTCCTGGTTTTCAAATAATATTTATCTAGGCACAAGCTGTCATTCTGTATTTGAGAATAAATGAGTGCAGTTACATCAGATCATTAAAAAACAGGTAGTTGCCACAAACTCCTGGATTTACAAATGACGGCTACCTGAGGTTTAATTATCACTGGCACACAACCAAAACAACAATGTGAACTCAAATGCCTAAAAAAGCCACTGAACACGCAGGGCAAAGATGGAATTTTTCTATTTAATTACCCCTCTGAACTCCATCCCTCCAGCAGCTAAGATGTAGAGTGCCTGCTCACAAGAGAGTAACTTAGTACGTGCCGTGAATATTTCCGTACTAACTGACATGGAGCTGACTGCTACATACATATATTTTTAGTGCCAACGTCTCTAAACACTCTTCTGGTTAACCGACTCCTTCATAATCACGACCTTCCCTGGCTGCAGAAGTCACCAGACTCTCAGACCATTTGAGGAAAGGGAATTCTCGGCGGTTTTAGCCAAACCCGAGCTTGGGAGGCAGCAGAGGCAGAGCCTCCTCGAGCCCCGGAGCAGGCACTCGGGGCCGGCAGCTCGTTGCGGGGAACAAAGGATGGCCTTGGCCTTCAGCGGCTACGTCAGCTCGGGGCCGGAGCCGGCAATGTGGGGCTCCTCCGGGCCGGGCAGAGGAGAGGAGGGAAGGCAAGGCCGGGAAAGGCTTTGCAGGCTCTCGGGGGAAGCACCGTCCTTGCCCATCATTGCACCTAGCCACGCGTTAAAAAAAAAAAAAAA